AACTACATACACACGCGTGCGTGCAACACTAACGAATTCATCATATTTTACAAATTAGATAGCGAAATGCACGCGCGCAGGCCAGAATGAGGCTACTACAATCGAATTGGAGGATATAACCAACTGTACAGTAACAATTAGCAGCGTTAGCATCAATCATCAAAAGACATCAATAGTAACAACAACAAATGTCAACGTAATAATAATAATAATAATAATAATAATAATAATAACAATAATAATAACATTAATAATATGTATAATAGTAATAATAATAATAACAACAACAACCACACGACCAAACGAATCATAACCTTAAAACCCTCATACTAACAATAACACCCAAAACAAACCACAACACCCCTCACAATAATAACTCTCAATACAACAACCTAACCCTCAATCACGTCAGTAAATCTAATTACAATAATAACAATAATATCAACTAATAACAACAATAATAACACATAACAATAATCAAAACACAACAAACAACAATAAAAACAAAGCTATCTAAGCGACTGCATCAGACAAGACGAGCTCTTCACAGCGTTCTGTTTCTGTTTCGCGCTCTGATCCACCTTAAAGCACCACCACAGCCTCAGACTCTCATCACCCGACGCACTCATCACGTACTGCCCGCAAGGTGACATCGTTAGGCCTAGAACTCGTTCGGTATGACCCGTCAGATCCTGAAAAGTTTATCAGTTATAAATTTAAATACACCTTTAATAACGTAGATAATAAAAATAATAACATACAATAACGATAATAAATATAAGCTATTGAAAAATCCCGCTCAATCGCAGTAGGGCGTGTCCTCGACAAAAAGTGATGGGAACGATTAGCCAAATCTACCCAAAAAAATTTCTACTAACCTGAACTGGCTTCATCGACGGGTACTTCCATATTTTGAGTACATTATTTGGATATCCGTGCGCGGTTATCAGCTCTTTGTAGTGTTTGCTGAATGCAATTGCATTCACCTGTAAAAAATAATTTTAACAAGCTCCTGCCAAACACCTTTGGCTAAATGAGACACTAAGCCACGCCTACAAACTCACATTCACATATCGCCAAAAACAAAAAGAGACACAAAAAAGAGACGAACCTGACTGTCGGTCTGCTCACTGTGGCACAACGTCCCCGTCGTTAAATTCCAAAATTTGATGGATCTATCCGCCGTCCCCCCGCCCGTCGCCAGCAAATGCGCCTGTTGCGGGTGGAACGCTATCGCCTTCACCGACGCCAAATGGTCGTTGAACGTGTACACTGGGCACTGAACACATTGTATTGTAATAATAATAATAATAATAATAATGCTACCTGGTCGATCTACCTGAGGACATTTTGCCTAAAGACACTTTGCCAAATTTACGGCCTTTAATGGATATTTCGCCCAATAGGTAAACTGTCCGTTAGGCAAAATATCTTCAGGCAGATCGACTGGTCACGAATAATAATAGATAACAATAATAATTAATAATAAACACTAAAAACAATAACAACAAT